ACCTTTTTTAAGAGAAAGGTAAAAACAGCCTAAGATATGTTGCTGTCTCTGACTTGAATGCCCTGGTTTAAGTTCATTTTATCTGGGCACTTTTCCTATTCACATTAAAAATCAGATTATCTCTGGTAACAGTCTTTGAAAAAAGAAAATACACAGAATGTCAAGAGAAATGACTGAAAAAGACTTAGAAAAAAGAGTAACAAAAGAAAAAGCCCCACCGGATTAGATGACCAGAGCAAACTTTTGTAATTCATTCCTTTATAAGAAGTTCAAAGGGAAACCTAATACTATCTATTGTAGCACAACATCATTTTTCTTAGGAGAATTTGGTTATCTCCCTTCTACCAAGCGTTCCTCTGAGCTCACTGTCCTGAGTAATGTTAGCCCCACTCTTGCTAAAGGTCTAAAATATTTACTTTGCATTAACAATGTGGTTTCACTTGACTGCTTCCAAGTGCAGAGGTATTTTATTTTGAAGTGTTTGCTTTCTTTGTTATTATCTGCAAATATATAACAAAGACAGTTTTTTCTACTTCAATATCTTATAGTTAGCATACTAAATGGAGTCTGCAACACTAGTTATTTGCCCCAAATTCTAGCTCTGAAACAAAGAAAAACAAACACCAGCATCAGTAAGATAAACACTGTGAGCAGAAGATTCATAAAGTGAGACTCATATATATATATACACACACACACACACACGCACACATATATCTGTTACTAATTTCCTAGACAAGGAACAAGATATTTATCAATTACTTTGTCCTGTTTTGGAAAATCTTGGAATGTTTTTCATACCCAGATTCCCTTCCTGAGGGGCTCCCTGTGATTGCCATGTTCTGTCTAATTATCCTGCCATTCTGGCCACAGTTAATGGATTAGGGTGGGCATTTTGAGCCTGGACAGTCAGTTCACAGTTTGGCTAGGGCCCTGGAAGTGAGCTAGCATGAAACTCTACCTAACACAGGGCTAGTGATTGGCTGGACAGGTTAAAGACTCTCTTTTGGGGACTTTAAATATGAAACACATAGAGAAAGTCACAGTTTGGGTGATTGGGCAGAATGCAAATGACACCCAGAGAAAAAAGAGTAAGCAGAAGCCATGAGGCAACAAAACTGTGAAACACCAGAAGCAATGAGGTGGAGAGAAGGAAAAGAAAAATGGAAAGATATTATTAGGTAATTATAAGAGCAGAACAAGCAGAGAAGGTTTGAGTCACGAAAATGGCACAGGACTGAAGTAGAGAACCACAAAGGCTTGCTGCTGAGGGTTCAAGATAGACTAAAACTGGAAGGATTTTCCAATTTTTGTTCTTTCATGGGGTCTGATTATTGTGTCCCAGAATATCTCTACGATAAACCCTAAAGATCTGACATAAACTAAATGCTGGTAACCTAAAGGAGTCTACCTAAAACAATTCGGCTCCATGATGAATTTTAGGATAATTTTCAAGCATTTTCCATAATAATATGAAGCGCACTATGTAATGATTTGATTACCTACTTAATATCTGCATTTGAAATCACAATTGACCTCAGAGTAGCAGAATGAATATCTCTCTTCTGAAACATACTACACTCATATAATAAATAATAATGGAAAAACAATAATAAATATATAATTTAATATAATTATAATTTATTTATATTTGATTTATAATTAATTTAAAAATACAATATAATAAACAAAATAGAAAACACAAATGTTTCAATAAAATTATCAAGTTGAGTTCGCTATCATTATTTAATAAGAATCAGTTATTTTCCTGTTCAGGATCCTATCACAGTTTAAATCTTGTTGTTGTGAATTTGTTATTGTGAACAACCAGGTACTTTTAGAGTGCTGATTTTCAGTGTAATGAATATTGCTTGAAATAAGAGGGCAGCTTCTGCATGTGGTGTTAGTATTAAGCAGATAGGGTCGGAGTCTTTCATTTAGAGACAAATGTGGACCACTGCCCTCTTCTGGACAGACTAGGAGGAACAACAGGATGTAGATGAGTGAAAAGTTCTTCAAGTATTTTCTAAGTTCACTTCAACAATATTTAATAAACGTCAACAGGTGTGGATTTACCTGGTGAACCAAATCCCAAGAATGCTATAAATGATCCCTCCTTTGGAAAAACTTACCGATCTGATGGGGAAATGAAATTGTAAATGAAAGATAACTTCACTGGTTAATACAATAAAGAATCAAATTTAAAAACTTTACTAGTATTATCATAACTTTGGGAAACTGTATTACTTCCATTTTTGTGAAACATTTTTGCTTTCTTTAGATGGAGACTGGAATTATGTACAAAATAAGCTGGTCAACAGCAAATCGTTGGAAGATCAACAGGCACAAAACACGATAAAATTGAATTTCACAAACTGATTGAAACATTAAACTAAAATGCAGACTTACATTGCTCTGCTTTCATAATAAAGATAGTTTAAGTAAGGTTAATCATGGGTTCCCTTACCTGTGCAAGGTTGCTCTGTCATTTTTGCTTACTTAACACTACAACTCTTGCCTCACGTAACGAAAACTAATTATCTCCCTTTGGCACAGAAAGACCTAATGAACATTTCAGAAAGTGAACTTGGTTAATTTAAAGCCTATGAGGCCCACTGGCAGGCTTTAAGTCTAAGCCTCCAGCTACATCTTCCACTGGGTGGTAGCTTAAGGGCCAGTCTGCCATTTATCCTTGCATATCACCACCTTGGGCTTCCAGGAAAGAAAGTACAAATTATTGGCAGGTGATATTCTGGAGTTCTTGACCACAGTGTCATTTAACAGTACTTCCAACAGTAATCAAATAGAGAGAGTAGATTTACAGTCATTGGAGGGATTGAGAAAGGGAACATAGATTTGGTTGTAGAAGTTGAAGAAATTTATAGGAAAAAAGAGGTAGTGGTTGTATTTAACAAATTTCACAGTATTTAACAAAAAGTCTTTATTTCAGAAGAAAAGTTTGCACACTGAAAATTGTGCTCTTCAGCCTATTTTGTGTCTTCAGTGGCAGGAAGTTGACACCACTGTAGCAATAAAAGCAGGTGGCTTCCTTTGCCATCTCTTCCTTCCACCAGACAGCTAGATTTGCACTGAGCGGCCACATTCATTCCAGCGCGGGAGAGCAGGTGGAACAGGGTCAAACACGAGGCCACCAAAATATAAGATGGCCATAGAAATGTAAGTAACAATCAGGATGGCTCATGGCTTCTGTGCTGGTTGTCAGATTATTGCCTCTCAGCTTAAAACCTACCGTTCACTGCCCTGCTTGTAATGCTAGAGCTCCATCATGCAGACATTTCTCCTTGGCCGGAAGAAGGTGTTGCAGGGACACTGCGGGAAGAAGGGGCTTTTCTTCTGTCTCTAGCGTGCCTTTTGTTGACTTGCTCCTGCTTAAGAAGTGGACCTCTGTCTAAAAAGGATTCCTCCTTTGGGTGCTCATTCTCACCCCTAAATTCTATAGTGTAGTTTTTTCCCCATTTCTCAGTAACTAATCCCCTGTAAATAGCTAATAATGTTTTCTACTCAACCTTTCATTTTGAAATGATTGTGTGATTCCCGTCTCCTGACTGAACCCTTTCTGGCTCACCTTCCAAGCTGTGGGTCTCCCCTCTGAAAACGTCTAATAAAATCAGATTTGGATATCCTTGTTGAAGTGTCAGATCAGTGCTTCTGAGCACAAATCTGTATTGGAGATTGGCAATCATAGCCCTCGTGCTGTCTCCATTCTAAAGTGGCTCAGGAGTTTTGGCTTGAAAAGTTTTCATTCATCCCATAGATTCAGTCCATAGCAGTCTTGTGCATTCAGATCAGAAGCAGAAAAAAATGCATGTGACTAGTATGATTTGCTGAAGTTTTTCTGCATATACTCAATTTTAATCTCAAATGGACCATTTTATTGAAATAAAAATGATTCATCCACT